GGGGGGGGGGGGGTGGGGCGGCGCTGTTGCTGAACAGATGATCATAAAATCCTAGAATGATTTGGTTTGGAAGGGACTTTAAAGGTCATCTAGTCCAACCGCCCTTCAACAATCAGGGACAACTTCAACTCGATCGGGTTGCTCAGAGCCCTGTCCAGCCTGACCTTGAATGTTTTCAGGGATGAGGCATCTACCACCTCTCTGGACAACCTGTTCCGGTGTTTCACCACTCTTGTGAAAAATTTTCTTCCTTATATCTAGTCTAGATCTACCCTATTTAGTTGAAAACCATTGCCCCATATCTTATCACAGCAGGCTCTGTTTGTCTTCATCTTTTTTATAGGCCCCCTTTAGGCACCGAAAGGCCACAGTAAGGTCTCCCTGGAGCTTTCTGTTCTCCAGGCTGCTGAACGACCTGAACTCTCTCAGCCTGTCTTCATAGGAGAGGTGTTCCCTCTCTGATGATTTTTGTGGCCCTCTTCTGGACCCCCTCCAGTGTTTTACTTGCATGTGAAAGAAAAGAAGTGAATATATATTCACTTTGATTTATGTGTGTGGGTTTCATATTTACATATGTATGTCTATATATAGATGCATATACAATACATACACATTTAAATAACAAAAATTTTCTACTCTTATGTGGTCGCATTAAGCCATGGCACAGTATTTTAATTCTTCCTGAAATAACTGCAAAAGAGAGAAAAGAATTGGATTGAATTTTCTTATGTTGGAATTTTATAATGTTAACTTCTAACTTTAATAGAGGTTTCTCAATCCCAGTATCTGCACTTTTTACTTAGAAACACTGTGGTTTTGTTAATGTGATGACATCTAGATTTCATTCTTTGCTTTCACAGTTTGTTACAATTCAGTGCAGAATTAATTCTTCAAGAAAAATCTAACTTCTGTAGTTATTTTGCAAAAATGTGGCTGTAATCATCCTGTGTGCTGACTGTAAAAGTAAACAGTCAGTTTCATTTTCTAGTATAAATCTCTGCTAGTATGTGAAGCTCTTAATTTACAAACTGCTGCATTACACATAGAAAGTCTCATATCTACTCTGAATCAAACCACAGCTGTTGAATACTAACATGTTTTTGGTTTTAATGTTTCAGAAAAGGGTTTCTGTATGAGAGGAGACATGTGCCCTTTTGACCATGGAAGTGATCCAGTAGTGGTAGAAGATGTGAATCTTCCTGGCATTCTGCCTTTTCCAGCACAGCCCCCTGTTGTTGAAGGACCACCTCCTCCTGGACTTCCTCCCCCTCCACCGATTCTGAGTCCGCCTCCTGTTAACCTTAGACCTCCAGTACCACCACCAGGCCCTTTACCACCTAGCCTTCCACCTGTAACAGGTAATTAAAAAATATTAAACCCCCCTTTTTTTTTTTTTTTTTTAGTAGAAAAGCCTGGATGTTACTCTGCTTGTATGCAGTGCAAAAAACTGTTTTAAGAATGCCATCTATATTTTAGAAAGTTGTACTGTGTTCTGCTATGGCATAGCTTACCCCAAAATGATTCTTTTTTTATAGTAACGGTTGTAAAGTTGATTGTTGTAAAATTTGCATGTTAAATGTCCATGAATATAGGATTGAATACGGAGTAATATTTTAATTGTGTTTAAGCAAAAGCATGGCATGGCAAAACTCAATTCCTTGAGTTTTATAGGAGAAGTTGTCTGAAACTGACTGCTGTTAGAGAAGAAGGGAAAATCCTGGAAACAACAGATACTTGGCATTTCATTTGTAATAATAAAATCAAAGAGAGTTCATGGCCACATCAAATTTACATCTGAAAATGTAATTTGCAATTAATTTTAAAACTAAACTTGTTAAAGTAACCAAGAAAGAAAAATTCTCCAGCTTGTTTACTCTCATTGGAAAGTACGTTGACTCAAGCACTAAAAATTACATGAAGACTTGTGTGCCTGACTCTCATTTATAAAGTAACACTCTAGTATTCAGTTCCCTTGTGTGGTTTAAAAACTGTTATGTTGGTTTCATGTGGTTATTCCTTTCTCTCTTTTTTTTATTAACTTAGATGTCCCACTTGGTAAAGTTATTCAAGAATAATAGATACTTGATATTGCTTGGAAATTTCTTCAACTCTTTTCATTTCCAGTTGATGATATATTTAAGTAAGATCTGAATGTATTTATTTCACTTAGTATAGAGATTAATTCTATTGCTGGGGTGATCAATTCTGCCTCACATGCTCTTTCCAGATCTGTGTGGACAGTCCGAATATGAGACTTTGTATCTTTTTCCAAAACATCTTTTTTCCAATGATTAAATTGAAGGTCAGGCTTGACTGGTCAGCTTTGAAAGCCTCACGTGTTACCCATTGTAAAAAAAGTCCAACCTACTAACCAAATTAAAAAACCCCTCAATTTTAAGAAGGATCCCTTTGACTTTCCACCAGAGTTCTAGGTTTCTTCTTGAGTATTTGGAAGAATAATTGCAGTCACGTTAGTTGTTGTCAGACAAAATTTTTGTTATACACTATTAAAAATAGGATTTGTTTCTTTGATGGAGTTTTATAGAGCTTTAAAGATCATCTGTCAGTGAAGATAAATACTAGGTCAGCAGTTAAATTTTGCTGATAGAAAGAAGGTGTTCAGAGAAATGTTAAACTGTTCAAATGCTTTTCTCTGTGATCTAAGTTCTGAGTCATTTGCTGGTGGGAACCATTTTATATGAATGAAGGTAAAGCATCATGTCTGTATACATGCCCTCTCCTCCCCCCTTTTTTTAAAAATAGCCTTAAGAACTTTTCAGGTCACTTTCATTATGAGTGGAGTGTAATATAAGTCTGGTGGATAATAAATGAATGCAGTGTTTTCCTTTGTTTTTGACAGGACCACCCCCTCCACTTCCCCCATTGCAGCCTGCTGGCATGGATGCTCCCCCAAACTCAGCAACTAGCTCAGTTCCTACTGTTGTTACAACGGGTATTCATCACCAGCCGCCTCCTGCTCCACCCTCTCTTTTTACAGCAGGTGTAGTACTGAGGCTTTGCCCACAAGGTTTGCTAAATAGAATAACATTGATTCATATTATGCTGTACTTTTTAGAGATCATAATTTCATAGTTTGGGAGAATAAGTTTGTATTCATGTAACACCCATCTACAAGAAGGGTCAGAAAGACAATCTGGGGAACTACAGACCTGTCAGCCTGACCTTGGTTCCAGGAAAGATTATGAAAGGGATTGTCCTGAATGCCATTACACAGCACATGCAGGAAAATCAGGGGATCAGGGCCAGCCAACATGGATTTATGAAAAGAAGATCATGCTTGACCAGCCTAGTTTCCTTCTGTGACAAAATGATCTGCTTGGTAGATGAGGGAAAGGCTGTGGATGTTGTCTACCTAGACTTTAGTAAAACCTTTGACATGGTCTCCCACAGCATCCTCATAAATAAATTGGCTGTTCATGGCTTAGGCAGGTGGACTCTTCAATGGGTGAAAAACTGGCTGGATGGCCAGGCCCAGAGAGTTGTGGTCAATGGAGCTAAATCCAGTTGGCGGCCAGTCACTAGCGGTGTTCCCCAGGGCTCAGTTTTGGGCCTGGTGCTGTTTAACATCTTTATAGATGATCTGGATGTGGGGATTGGGGGCACCCTCAGTCAGTTTGCAGATGACACCAAGTTGGGTGGGATCGGCTGGAGGATAGGAGGGCTCTGCAGAGGGACCTGGACAGGCTGGGTAGATGGGCTGAGACCAACGGCATGAGGTTTAACAAGAAGCAGTGCCAGGTCCTACACTTTAGCCACAAAAACCCCATGCAGCATTACAGGCTTGGGGAAGAGTGGTTAGAAAAGTGGTCAAGCGGAAAAAAGCCCTGGGGCTGCTGGTTGGCAGCCGGCTGAACATGAGCTAGCAGTGTGCCCAGGTAGCCAAGAAGGCCAATGACATCCTGGCTTATATCAGGAATAGTGTGGCCAGCAGGACTAGGGCAGTGGTCGTCCTCCTGTACTCAGCACTGGTGAGGTCGCACCTTGAGTACTGTGTCCAGTTCTGGGCCTCGCACTTCAAGAAAGACATTGAGGTGCTGGAACGTGTCCAGAGAAGGGCAGCAAAGCTGGTGAAGGGCCTGGAGCACAAGTCTGATGGGGAGCGGCTGAGGGAGCTGGGGCTGTTTACCCTGGAGAAAAGGAGGCTGAGGGGAGACCTGATCGCTCTCTACAACTGCCTGAAAGGAGGTTGTAGTGAAGTTGGGGTCAGCCTCTTCTCCCAGGCAACTAATGAATAGGACAAGAGGGCATAATCTGAAACTGCACTAGGGGAAGTTCAGGCTAGAAATGAGGAGGCATTTCTTCACAGAAAGGGTCGTTAGGCATTGGAATGGGCTGCCCACGGAGATGGTGGAGTCACCAGCCCTGGAGGTGCTTAAGAAAAGATTGGACGTGGCGCTTAGTGCCATGGTCTAGTTGACATGGTGGTGTTAGGGCAAAGGTTGGACTCGATGATCCCAGAGGTCTCTTCCAACCAAATTGATTCTGGGGTTCTGTGGTTCTGTGGTTCTGTGACTGTGACAGTAACTTAACACATTTTTTTCTAACTTTGTTCAGGACAGAAGTAAAATTTGCATGTAAAGTGTGAACTTTGACTATGGAACAATATTTTCATTGTGTTTAAGCAGAAAACTTGGCATGGCAGTTTTTTAGGATAGTTGTTATACAACTCTTCCATTGTAATTGTATATTGTAATTAAATGAAATATTGTATTTGAAACCTTAGGGGTTTTAACTGCAATCTATTTTAATTAGACAATTTCTTTGTTACCAGAAACGTACGACACAGATGGCTATAATCCAGAAGCTCCAAGTATAACAAATACTTCAAGACCTATGTATAGACATAGAGTACATGCCCAAAGACCAAATTTGATAGGACTCACATCAGGTGATATGGATCTACCACCCAGAGGTATGCTCTTAAAGTTATACTTGCTTAGTTTAGCTGTTTTTCTTACATTAATGCAGATTGAGGCAGTTTTCAGAGAATGTAATACTGGAAAACATTGCATTTTTAAAAATATTTCTGAAATTAAGTGAAGTGTAATTGAATAGGAAATTACGCTCATAGTTGCTTTGTGTGTGCATTTTTACAGGTAAAATGAAATCTGCTAGAGTTTTGCACAGTTTACACTTGATTGTAATAATTGGTTACTTTGTACATATTTCTACAGAAAAATGTTAATGTTTCTGAATAGAATCTTAGGATGCTTTTTGCTGTGGAGAGGAGGGAGTCATTTTTCTCTGGCAGTAGACAGTTATGCATGAGTAATCTTAACCTCATAGTTCCTGTGGGCCTGAGAAGAAGCAGCAGCACACAAAATGAGAAGGGAAGAGGGATAAACCCAATTTTTTTAATGTGTTTTTGTTTACATTTGGATGTATTTTTATTTAAAGTTATTATGTTTCTGTTGGTGTATTTTCAGTGAGGAGTCCCCCAATATGATTCCTGTTCTTCAGCAAGAGCCACTTCTCTCCCATTCCATCCCTAAATCTTGCTCCTAGGTGTTAGTGCTCTGGAATACTATACATTTCCTATCATGAGCATCTTTGTGCCATCTAATAGTAGAATGGAGGTGTTAGCAGAAATGGTGTGCGCCTCAGAGCATTGTATGGGACATTGTGAATCAGTGAGTGCAGTCATCTTGAGGCAGATGCCTTCTATCACACCTGTTTTGTTTTCCTTATGTATGATGTTACTGTGACAAAATGAAAGCTATTAGCTATTTTCATCTGTCACAGCATCTGTTGATGGTTAAGAAGAAAAGTCTGTGACCAAGATTTGACTCAGTTTGAACAAGGATCATAGTGATTTCAAAATAAACAATTGTGCATTTCAATGCGAATTCAATGTGAGCAGAGTACCTTTTTACGATGAAATACACAGAAAATACAAAAAAAAATTTGTAAAATCTTTCCGTCTGTTTACAGAAAAACCTCCTAATAAAAGTAGTATGAGAATAGTGGTAGATGCTGAATCCAGGAAAAGAACAATTGGTGCAGGGGATGGTGGAGTTCCTACAAAGAAGACTTGGTTTGACAAGTGAGTGATCATTAACACAAGGTTGGCTTAATAGTTGGAATTTCGTGAAGCTGTTTTCTGTAATCTGAAATGTATATAAATCTATAAAAATTGCAGGCAAGTTAAACTGTGAATAAGCTGACTGTACTAAAATAAAATCATACTATAGAGCGATCTATATTTGACTGTTTTCTCTCAGAGGCAGTATAGAGGTAGCTGAAGTTGCTTTGGGTAATACTAAGATCTACTCCCGGAAGGCTGGAATGATCTAAGAAACAGAGAAGCTGCAGTGTGATTGTTGTTAGAGCTAAGCGATTATAGTTTTGAAATACAAATTGTATCATTGCTATTTTGGTTTGAGTTGCCAGGTATGTTACTGACAGAAGATACAGGGTGCAGTGCTTATGCCCAGATATACCTGGGATAACAAAAGGTTGGAAAGGATTTTAAGAGATTACTGGGACTGAGGAGAGCCTTGAAGTAATAGTTATTTGGAATGTTAGTGGGGAGATTCCATGGAATAGCTGAGAAATAGTTTTTGGAGAGAAGCAATGTGGAAGTCAGGATTACTGACACAAGCAAATAATTCTTCATTATCTCGCAGATTTATGTGCTGGGGAATGCTGAGAGTATCAGTGGGGAAAACTGCAGATGCATGGACCAGTGTGGTGTACCCTTCTACACTTTTCTAAAATTGCCTTTTTTTTTTTTTTTTTGAGTCTGCAAATCTTTCTGTCTCATAGACACATACTCCTATGTAAACATATACAGTTTAACATTGTGTTTGCTAGCTTGCTATGGATTTCTGGCTTGATTTTTATTTGTTGCAGGCAAAATTTTAGCAGAACAAATAGTCCAGGTTTCCAGAAGAAGGTGCAGTTTGGAAATGAAAATACAAAACTTGAATTGAGAAAAGTTCCCCCTGAACTTAACAATATCAGCAAACTTAATGAGCACTTCAGTAAGTTTGGAAACTTAGTCAACTTGCAGGTAAGAATCAACAAAGAGAAGGCAGTATGCTTTGACTTAGTGATAGAGGTACTTGCTAAAAGGAAAATGCCAATTGTTTTTTTAACTGGTTCCCTGAAACTGTTCTCATTATTTTTATAACTTGTTTCTTAGACATGATCTCATTGTTTTTAATGGAATTGTCATTGAAGAAGCAGAAATGAAATGTTCTGGTCTTCTTTTAAATTTGGAATAAATGTTTTCCTCGTGGATAAGACTTTTAAGATACATTGTTTAAAACACTTGATTGGAAAGTGTTTTTCCTTCACCTCTTTTCTGAAGTTTGGGTCTGAGATCATAAACCCTCTGTATTTTTTAAGATAAATTGTAGGTACAGGAAACCTGTATTTCTGATCCAGAAAGTAGTCCCTGTGATATAATTGCTTTCTACTGCCATAGTAGTGACAGTTTGTCCCTTCGAACAACTTCGTGCTGTGTCTGAGTGACCCACATTTGTGAATAGGAATGAGCAAACAGTTAGAGAAAGTTATGAAAGAGATTCAAAGAACTAGGGCCTAACTTAGGTTGATGTTACATATTGCAGGCTGTATGTGTAATGTTGGTATTTCATATCCAGTCTGTAAGCTGCTCAGTCTAATCTTTTATCATACTTCATTATCAACAAGTTTCAGATGCTAGCTTGTGGTTTTATGTACGCTTTCTGGTTTGCACTGAGAGGTTGAATGAAGAGGTGTAATAGAATATTTTGTGTGTACTGATCAGTACAGAATAAACCTCTTGTACCTGTCTGAACACTGATGGAATTTAAATTTATCTTAATTGCTCTTAAATACTTCTTAAACCTTTCCATAGTTTACCTAAGAATATGGTTGTATTAGCAGGCAGTATGATTCAGTAAGGCAAGTACGATTGTGTGTGGATGTGTATAGAGAGACGGAGAGATAATGCAGATAGATATTGCAAGCTATGCTGCTCTCCTGAAAAGTATAATTTTGTCCTTTGAAGGTGTCTAAAATAATATGTTCATACTCAAAGGAGGAAAACCAAAATGAAATTTGTTGTCTAGCTCTGATACTTGATAGGACGTTTATTAACTGATCCCTGTATTTTTTACACCCCTGCTTTCTTTGTAGCAATTTTCTTTACTTCATTAATAAATGTCCTATTAAAAGCTTCCTCTTGTCTTTCAAACAAGTACTCATACTTGCAATTATGAATACTGTTGGACTGTTTAGGTATTTTACTTCACTTTGTTTGAGATTTTTAAACTATTCTTAAAGTTTATTAACTTAATCTCAAGGTTGCTTCTTGACACCAGGCTTTTCAAACAGAATAGTGAACAGGAAGTATTTATCTAATGACCCATGTTGGGTTTAAATTGTAAACTTCTGAGCCTTGAAACTAGTGATTTTATGATAATTGAGACACAAATGAAAATCCTACATGCTGTAAGTTTTGTTCTTCTGTTTTAAATCTTAGGTTGCATATCAAGGTGATCCAGAAGGTGCCCTTATTCAGTTTGCCACCCACGAGGAAGCAAAGAAAGCTATATCAAGTACAGAAGCAGTGTTAAATAATCGTTTTATTAAAGTTTATTGGCACCGAGAAGGCAGTGCACCACAAATCCAAACTGCCACACAGAAGGTAGAGGATCTAAGTCTGTTCTGTCTAGAATGTTACGTAAAATACAATATTTTAAACATTTTTGTGAAGTGTTTATAGGAAGTAAACTGAGTACTTTCAAAATAATGAGTACTTCATGTAATTATTTTCCAAAAGTTTGACTCTTCAATTGTAGACTCTTTGACCTCAGATACAAGGTTCGGGAGTTGATTAGTAAGATAAGACTGAAGGTATTAAAGAAAGCCCTTCTGTGACTTATGGAGAATTCCACTCTGTTGTCATCTCACATGAAGCAAGATTTGATGCTACTGTCTGCTGAATAGCATCTGTTTTACTTTAACTAGTATAGGCTTTTTCTTTTTTTTTTTTCTCCTTCTGGTGGGCATAAGAAAGACAGCAGAGTTATATTTCTTTTCTTGGAAGATAATCTCTATTTTCTTCCAAAAGGTGCTGTTTTTTCCAGTCTTTTCCTTTTCCTTTTTTCTTTCCTGTTGAGCATGCATACTGCTATAGAAAGTAGCAGTAGAATTTGTTTTACACAAAGCTGCCTATGTGTATACGGATATACGCACATTTATATGTAGAGAGAGAGGACATGCAGACAACAGTGTAAGAGGAGAGCTGCATTAGAGAGCTGGATTTTGTGGGAATGGATCAGGGACATTTTACATTTTCAAGCGGAGAGGGCAGTGCTGATCTCCCTGGTATCCAGTGCCAGGACACGTGGGAGTGGTTCAAAGCTGTGTCAAGGGAGGTTCAGACTTGAGAGTAGGAAACATTTCTTTACAGAGAGGGTGGTCAGCCACCGGAACAGGCTTCCTAGAGAGGTGGCCAATGCCCGAAGCCTGTCAGCGTTTAAAGAGGCATTTGGATAATACCCTTAATAACATGCTTTAACTGCTGCTTAGTTCTGAAATGGTCAGGCACTTGGACTAGGTGATCTCTGTAGGTCCCTTCCAACTGAAATAGTCTATTATGTTCTACATTTTTTGATTGAATTGCACAGTGGAGCACTTATTGGTAGTTGTCGTGTGCATAGTAGCATTGACAACTTTTTAAGAATATGAAACAACAGTTACTTAGAGAGCTGGATTTTGTGGGAATGGATCAGGGACATTTTACATTTTCAAGCGGAGAGGGCAGTGCTGATCTCCCTGGTATCCAGTGCCAGGACACGTGGGAGTGGTTCAAAGCTGTGTCAAGGGAGGTTCAGACTTGAGAGTAGGAAACATTTCTTTACAGAGAGGGTGGTCAGCCACCGGAACAGGCTTCCTAGAGAGGTGGCCAATGCCCGAAGCCTGTCAGCGTTTAAAGAGGCATTTGGATAATACCCTTAATAACATGCTTTAACTGCTGCTTAGTTCTGAAATGGTCAGGCACTTGGACTAGGTGATCTCTGTAGGTCCCTTCCAACTGAAATAGTCTATTATGTTCTACATTTTTTGATTGAATTGCACAGTGGAGCACTTATTGGTAGTTGTCGTGTGCATAGTAGCATTGACAACTTTTTAAGAATATGAAACAACAGTTACTGTTGTGGAGCTTAGATATGTAACCTGTGGCAAGCCAAATCAGATTTGTTAGCAGATGTAGTAGTTCTGCTCAAACGCAAGAGGAAGCTTCTCCCAGGTCACATAGGTTTTTGGATAGTCTTGTCAGCTAGCTCCTGGTATAGCAAGTCCTTCTAAATACTTGTGTATCCTGCTTTATTGGATTTGCTGTCAGTGTCGAACAACACATTCTACACTTAAAAATACAAGGCAGGCTCTGTGCAAGAAACACTCACTCACTTATGTATATTGATACAATGAACAAACGAGTTGTTAGAGGAATCTTTCAATTGCTACTCTGAGTTTTGAATTCCTTCTTTCCGTGGATGGTGTAGGTCATCATCATTCAGAATCAATGACCCAGTTTTCCATAGCAATCCTGCTGTAGGGCATTTTAACAGTTTCCTTTCTCTCCTTCTTTTGTAACAAGTGCCCTGCTTTTTATCTACAAAAGTGCAGTTTTAATGACACCTGTTGCACTTTCTCCTCAGTTATCATCCTTTTTATAAATATCCTGGATGCTTGATCTGAACTAGTGCTGCTTAAAATGGTATTTATTTTCTAAGCTTGTTTTACATCTCATCAGCCAGAAGAGGGCAGTGGAGTATGTCCTTTGCGTTCATACAAACATTGCCTCTCTTGAGAAGGACAGCTTGAACAGTTATTGCCATCAGCTTATTTGCTGATTATGCTGTCCATCTTGGAGTATTAACTGTTATTTCCAAACAAATATCTGATCTGTATATTTGTTATTTTGCAAAACATCACTTTTAAATAATCTTAACAGTTTTTAGTGATGTTACTAGCTTCCCAGCACACCGCCTTTGGCAAGTTAACTTTGATAGTTTGAGGGTTCTCACTTCAGAAAGAACAGCCTTTCAGCACGTGTCAGGAAACTTCAATTTGAAGTCTGTTATGGGTGATAGAGGGTGCACAGAGACAAGAAAATTTTAAGCAGGAAATTAAAATTTTAAGTGCAATGCTTTCATGTTCTTCTACCCCAAAATATAACAGTTATCAAATTACTGAGTAATTTCAATGAAATAGGTATTTCTAACTCAGTAGCCTTTCAGGAGCATGAATATTACTTCCTTTTTCATTGAAATTAATATTTAGTATCATATCTACAAGTAGTATGGAAACTCTTTTCTTACAATACTTTACATACTGTAAGTACTTGAATTTTTGCCAAGATTTCTGGTATATTAATTAACTACAGCTGAATTAATTTCACCTGTATTTGTAATGATTTCTGGCCAGATTTTTTTCTGTTAGGCACTAATGACAGGCTTTTGAATTTTTTTCAATGTAAAATCAGTTGGCTTTTAAGTTGTCTCTTTGGTAGTATCTGGTCCTGCATAATTTCTTGAGCTTTGCTGTTTCCTCAGCAGGATTACTTTGGAAAATTCCTACTGTGGAAATTCTGAAAGGAGTAGAAGTACTTTGTAAAGATGGTGGGAGTCAACCATAATAAATCATCAAATAAAAGGCTTCTGCCAGGAAGCAGTAATAATGTGCTTTCCACATCTCTACTAGATAAAACAAGAAGTACTGGGCTTAAAAGGCAGCACCAGAGATTTAGGTTAGATATTAAAAAACATTTTCTAATGCTAAAGGATACTGAAACACTTTTGCCTAGAGAGTTCATAGGACCTTTTTCATTGGAAATCTGTAAGAACTAGATAGATAGATACTGTCAGTAATGGCTTAGGTATAGCTGCCTTTGCCCTGGAGTAGCGGAATGGATTAGGTGACCTCCTGAGGGTCATAAATATGACAGGAAGCTTTCTTGGAAGCATATTTTCTTGGTCTTAAGTGTTTAATGGTTTTGTCAAAGAAAAAAAGGCAAGGTGTTAGCTGTCAGGGGGTATCCATGGTAAGTTCAAAGATTAGCTGCTCTGTTTTCTTTTTGCTCAGTCCCATGACTGCATGTTTCCATTTCCTTCCTTAATTTGCTATTTTGTCCAAGTTAAACACGTAGGAGATGAAAAGTGACATAGCGCTGTAAAAAGTGAGAGTCTTTATGACACAAGTTTGTATTCTGCCTTTCCATAAGTAAATGGTTGATGAAGGATTTGTGAAAGGAATCAGAAGACTGCTTATTAATTTTTATTCATAATA